ATATATATATATATACACACACAGATACATATACATGTATCTGTATATATATGTATATGTGTGTATATATATATATATGTTTTTTTAAAAAGTCTACCTTATAGTAATTTTAAATTCTGAAAATTGTTTCTATCTACATACCAATTCCTAAGTATTGGAAGTTGTGGGGAAGTTTTCAGTATGCCTAATCTGCCGTCAACATCTGAGAAAAAATATTGTCATAAATGACAATTATAAATTGTAAAACTGAATACTATTAATAATGTTTGGTATATCTTGATCCTTGAACTTTTAAGTAATAAGTCTAAAAAAGTGACTTGAAATATGATTTAATTCATTTTGAAATTGTAGAAAAATATAGCATTTTCAGAGTTGATTCTTTTTAATAAAATTTACATGGGAGGGATTGCCTGGGTGGCTCAGTTGGTTGAATGTCAGACTCTTGGTTTCAGCTCAGGTCATGATCTTGCAGTTCATGGGTTCAATCCCCAACCCCACCAAAATAAATAAAGTTAAAAAAATTAAGCTCACTAAAAAAAATAATAAAATTTATGTGGGAATAAAAATTGTCATGTAATTTCATTTCAAGGACAATAACACATACTTCTCACATGGAATTCTGAATAAAAGCCTAGTATGAATATGGCATAAAGTCTTTATGTATTATAAATACATTGTCTTGATATATTCTCCCATTTATTCTCTTTCATAGATTTGGGATTTTAGTCAAAGAAGTTTGTTTAAAGTTGTAGATAACTTTAAATAATAGTTATGTTATCTATAGTTATATTTTTAGCTTGTAGTCTGTAATTAAACATACAAACTGTTTTATCTTCAATGAGTAAATGTATCATAGAATTTTAAGGTACATGAAAATCTCCAAATAAGATTGTTAAAATGGATTATTCCACAAGTGAGAAAGCAATGACATTATTTTGATAACTTTTGATATTTCACTGAAGTTTCCTTCATAACTTAGTTCACGTAAATGTCTTTTCTAAGACAAATTCTGTAAGTAGAGAATTCTCTTCATAAGTTTCATAAATATTAATTATACTGTGCTGGGTGATTTATAGTTAATCATCATAATAATTTACTGAGGTAGATATTATTCCTCATTTTAAAGATAAAGTATCGAGACTGAGGTTAAATAATTTGTTTGACACTAGGGACCAGAGTTGAGTGGTGGTCTGAATAACTCCAAGCCTGTGATGTCATGCTTTTGTTTTTGTTTTTACACGGCTCCAAACAACTGTGGAAGCCACCATTCTATGTGCTAAACTACATTCTAGTGGCCATAGGATATTTTTTATTTAAAAAAGTAATATTATTACCTTTTATTTTAACAAAATTGACTAAAATTTAGTAAAAACATGTTTTAAAAATTTTATAATGATTCGGTAGAATCAGGTTAACTTTTAATTTTATTTTTGATCTAACGTGTTATTTCTTTCCAAAATAACAGATGTATATTTTTGTTTTAGGAGTTGACACAAAGTTGAAGTTCACTCTTGAGCCATCTTTAGGTCAGAATGGTTTTCAGCAGGTAACTTTGGTTTTTTTTTTTAGTTTTGAAAATACTCTTATTTTGGGGTATCGGTAGGGCACACTGAGATATATTCTCAAAGTGGGAAAATTAGCCTATACTTTGACCTGCATAAGATGAGTCAGTTTTTAAAATTATAAATAAACTTATGAGGCTACAAGTGGCCCGAGCTTATACTTGCAATGAAAAATTTTGTACTTTCTCTTAATGATGCAAGTGTGAAAAAAAATTAAAAAAGCCAAATATCTATTATTTTGAATCCGTAATACATGTATTTGTTTCTGAACCAGAGCTTCCCAATCATTGTGTGTGTGTACTGCACAGGGGTCACAGGTGTGTTAAGAGTACCTAAGGTGGGGGGTGGGGGTAGGGCTTGGAGTAGTTATATGTAGCTGAAAGAAACTCTGTTTATCTTAGTGTGCTGTATGAATTTTATCATACTTTGTGGATGTCAGAATAGGAAACAAGTTGAAAAATGCTTATCCGGGTCAGTATCACTTTGCCAATATTTCTTCTGTGCTCCTAGTGGTACGATGCTCTCAAGGCAGTTTGCAGACTATCAACAGGAATACCAAAGGAATGGAGGAGAAAGGTAAGGAGGATGCATAGGGCTCAAAACAAAAGGATCAGCTCTCCGTTCCTCTTTAAAATGTCTGAAATGTCCAAAAGAATATTCTAGGTTTAGTAATTTGAAAGCTGTCTTTCTTCATTATCTATGCATTTAATAAGTATTTATTGATTATTCCATGCCAGGTACTGTTCTGGGTCCTGAGGATACAGGGAGTGGGGGTGGTGGTGGAAAACAACAGACCAAAATTTTGGGCCTCATGGAGCTTACAAGGAATGCAATATAAAGTGTGTCAGATGGTGATGTGTCATGCATAAAAATAAGGCAGAGAAAGAAATAAGGAGAGTTGAGGGGAGAGGAATGGAAGTAAGGAGGTGGAATTTTAAATAGCAAGGTGACATTTGAATAGTTGGTGAAGCAGCTACCTGGGGAAGAGAACTCCAAAGAGAGGGAACACCCTTAGGCTAGAGTATCACAAAAGCGAATAACCAGGATGGCTGAAGCCCAGTGAACAAAGAGGATGCAATTGGAGAGAGGGTCATAGAGATAAATGTGATGGGGTTAGAGGATGGTAGATCATGTAGGACCTTACAGGCCGTAGTAGGACTTTTGCCCAGTCTGAGATGGGAAGCACTGCTAAGTTTTGAGATAGGGAGTAACAGCACACAACTTACATTGTAAGCAGACCTCTCTGGTTTGATAATATGGACAAGGGCGGAAACAGGGCGATCAATGGAAAACTTGTGATAATTCAGGCAAGACATAGATCAGGGTTACAGTAGTGGAGATGGAGAAAAAGGATTAAATTCTAGATATATTTCGAAGGCCGAGTTGACAAGAATTCCTGTTAGGTTGAATATAAGGTATAAGAGGGATGTCAACAATGACTTCAAGGTTTTGACCTGAGCTTCTGGAAAGTTAGAGCTACTGTTTACTCAGATGGAAGGGGCAGATGTGTGTGTTCATATGCATGCATGTATCAGTCGACGCAGTGGTAGATTAGATGATTGGTTTGCTATCTGTTGAGGTTGAAATGCCTATTAGACATCTAAATAGAGGGTGTCAGGTGAACAATTTGGATATATGATTGTGATGCTTAGAAGAAAAATCTGGCTGGAGATATTGATCAGTGTTATTTCTGCTAAATTGTGTTGAAATGCCAAAACTTGAAATGCTTTCATATAAACCTAGTCTTAATACCCCTAGAATTTGAATGGTGGGGATTCTTCATCTTCAAAATATACATTAAAAGTCTTTCAGAAACAGCTTTTCAGGAGAAAGTAATCAAAGGAGTAAAAATATCCAGTGACTCTTTTTTTTTTTAATTTTTTTTCAACGTTTTTTTTTTTATTTATTTTTGGGACAGAGACAGACAGAGCATGAACGGGGGAGGGGCAGAGAGAGAGGGAG